ATTAGTTATAAACATGTTCTAGATGCTAAGAGAAGTAAGTCGTATGACAAAAGCAAAGTCATGTTGCTTGTAGGATAACACAGTACATGTGCTTATAAGATTTATTGTCCTGTCACTAACAAGGTTGAATTCAGCAGAGATGTCATTGTGAAAGAATCAGAATTGTAGATTAGAGTGAATCTCAATCCAACTCTAGTGTGGTGTTAGTACCTAAGTTAACTTATGAAGATATTTCAGAATATGAAGGTTTTGAAGATGAGTTAGAATCAGAAGCTGATTCTGAAGGTGAGTCTGAAGATGATCCAGAGTCTGAAGGTGACTCTAAAGGTGAAGAAGACTCTAAAGGTGAATCTAATTCTAATCCAGATTCTGATGGTGATTCATACTCTGGTGGAGATCTAGACTCTGGATATATTCCAGACTCTGAAGGTGGTATTTCTGGGGTTCCAGCACCTGATATTGTTCCAGCATCCAAAGGAGATTTTGAACAAGTTTAGAGACCATAAAGGATAAAAAACATTCCAAGAAAATTTGCAGAGTTTGATATGCTGCAAGATACTGAAATAAACTTTGAAGGGTAAGTTATTTAGTGTGTCATGTTAGTGAATATGAACTAGTGAGTACATAAGAAGCTCTCAAGAAGAAAGTGTGGCTGAAGGCCATGAAAAAAGAACTTGAGGCTATAGAAAGAAACAAGACTTGGAAGTTGACTGAGCTTAACAAAGAACAAGAAATCCATCAGTGTCAGATGGGCTTTCAAGGTGAAACTAAAGCCAGATGGATCAATTGGCAAACACAAAGTAAACTTAGTAGCAAGAGGATTTTTATAGAAACCTGGGTTAGATTACTTTGAAGTGTTTGTGCCTGTAGCGAGACATGAGACAATCAGACAGGTGATTGCGATAACTGCAAACAGGAATTGGCTTTTGATGCATTTAGATGTGAAATTTTCATTTATGAACGGTCCATTAGAAGAAGAGGTATATGTGTCACAACCTCCTGGATTTGTTCAAAATAATCATAAAGGGATGGTGTACAAGTTACATAAAGCATTGTATAGACTGAAACAATCTTCTAGAGCTTGGAATCTTAAAATTGATTCATTTTTCAAACTTCAAGGATTCAAAAAGCGTATGATGGAGTATGGTGTTTATGTTCAACATACTTCTAAAGGCAATATGATTCTGGTGTGTCTCCATGTTGATGACATATTGCTAACAGGGACTTGTGAGCATGAGATAGATAAGTTCAAGAAGATGCTGGTGAATGAGTTTGAGATGACTGATCTAGGAAATATAACATATTTTCTAAGGATGAGATTATGTACTCTGAGAAGGGTATCATTTTGTATCAGTTGAAGTATGAACTCTAGCTTCTGAAGAGATTTGAGCTACTTAATTGTAAGGCTATTGTCACACCTTCAGAAACAAATCACAAACTAGATTCTGATCCTGAGGGTGAGGATGTTAATGCTATAACGTTCAAGCAGTTGGTTGGCTCTCTAAGGTATTTTTGTAATACCATACTTGATATGTGTATGCATTTGGAATGGTTAGTAGTTCATGAGTAAACCGAAGTGACTCATTACCAAGTTGCTGTCAGGATTTTGAGGTATGTTAAAGGGACTTTGAAGTATGGAGTTTTGTTCCCTTCTGGTGAAAACACTAATTCGGAGCTGATGTATTACTCATACTCTGATTGGCGTAGAGACAGAGTTGACAAAATAAGTACTTCTGGATATTGTTTAAGTATCTGGGAGGTTATATTTCTTGGTGTTCCAAGAAACAACCAGTTGTTGCTTTGTCAACCTGTGAAGCTGAATACGTCGCAGGTGTTGTGGTTGCATGTCAAGTCGTTTAGCTTCTGAATTTGTTGCATGATCTGAAGATCAAAGTAAATAAGCCTTTAAAGCTGATGATTGATAACAAGTTTGCAATCAATCTTGCAAAGAACCCAGTGCTTCATGGGAGAAGCAAGCATATTAAGACAAAGTTTCATTTTGTGAGAAGTCTGGTTTAGAATAAAGTGTTAGAGGTTATGCACTATAGCACCCAGAAGCAGCTAGTAGATGTTCTGACGAAGGCGATCAAGAATGATCAATTTTTCCACATGAGGGATGAAATTGTTGTTGTTAGTTTTGATTAACTGGATATGAATTAAGGGATGGTGTTAAAAGTAATTCATATTCAGTAGTATTAATATTAGTTTTGTTAAGCTTAACCTATCTAGTGTACATTAGTATTTTTCCTATGTGACATTATTGTTTGTGTATATAAGTAAGTAATGTACTTAGCCATTAAGCAATGAGTTGTAATCATTCACTGTAACCGTTTTGCAAGAGTAGAGAAAGTTTGTTATTTTCTCTCTTCTCTCTCTTCATCCATTTTCATCTTTTCCATCTTGTGCACAAACATTTATCCGCGTAATCTATCAAGATCACTTATTTAGAGATAATGGCCAAAGTCTCTTTCTGTAAACACTACCTTCTAATCTTTGTTCCAATGAAAAAAAAGGTTGAATGCATGCTCTCATGGGTGAGAGGCTTATTGAGGCCCCTCACGGTACCCTGGGCCTTGGTTAGTTACCCAAATTGTTTTATTTGATTTTGTGTTGTTGTTAGTAGATGTTTTTATTATTGGTGTGATGGTAGTGATTTTGATGGTTTTAGTAGAGAGAAGATGGAAGAACAAGTAAGAGATGGCGATATTGGATAAAGTTAAGGATGAAAAAGATGAAGAAAATTGAAGGTTAAGATAATTTTTTTATTTTTTATTTTTGAATAATTTTAAAATCAATAAATAAAAACAAAAACTGTCATGTCATATCTCATTTAACAGCAAAAATGTCATTAGTAATATCATGTCATCAAACCGTATGAAAGATTATGACATGGTGTGTAAGGTTGTCAATAACATTATTGTTACTTGTAGAGGAGTCAAATGGATTCGATGAATCCTCCTAATGTGGAATGGATGAAGCTTAATTTAGATAGTGTGTGTGATGCTGATGACAGAGAGGGATGTGGATGTATCATTAGAGATAGTAGTAGTAAGTGGATAGCGGGCTTTTTCAAGAATTTGAGAATTTGTGATGTAACAATGGCTATATTATGGGGAGTGGTGAAAGGTTTAATTAGCTAAGAAAATTGGAGTTCGAGCTATTGAGATAAATAACGATTTGATGGACGTGGTAAAAAGGATAAACAATTTGCATAAGATTAATCATGTGGGAAGAATCCTGATAAAAAAAATTCAAGATTACATGAAATTGGATTGGAACATTCAAGTTCATCATATTTACGGATAAGAGAATTTGTGTACAAATGCTTTTTCAAGAAAAGTCTAATGAACTTTGAAGAATTTTTTTTTATTTCTGTGCCTCTTAGATGATGCATATTGTAGAAGCTTGTTTTTTGTGTACAAATGCTTTTTTAAGAAAAGTCTGATGAACTTTGAAATTTTTTTATTCGTGTGTCTCTTAAATGATGCATCTTGTAGAAGCTAATTTAGCGGAAATTACGGTTCGGTTGTGATTTAGTTTTCTTGTTTTAGGCGATTATGCCCTCCTTGTAAAAAAAAGTTAATGTTTAATACTTTTCATTTTTTATATTAGTAAGATGTATTATATTAATTTATTATTAATTATTTTTTTTAATAAAATTTTAATAAAAGTTATTAATTTAAATTAATATATTTTTACTATTTTATATGCTTTAAATATAATTGAAAAACTTTATTAATAATATAAATTTTATTACATCTTATACAGTTATTATAAATTTAAAAAGTTAAAATTTATAAATTTGAATATTCAAAAACTTATCCAAAATAAATTTGATTAAATTTGATTTATTTAAAAAGCTAAAATTTATAAATTTGAATATTCAAAACCTTGTCCAAAATAAACATTAAATTTGATTTATTCAGATGTTTGAATTGTCCTTCAAAACCTAACAACATATACTTTATCTTTGAATTAGATAACATTTTGTCTCAAAGCTAATACAAATCGCTACTAATTTTCAGCGCCACTAAAAAGTTGAAGTCAAAAAGAAAAAACTGAAATTTTGCATCCGTTTAAAATCATCATTAAATAGTTAAAAATAAAAAAATAACATAAATTGACATTTTATAGTGATTTAAAACCCCCGCTAAATATTTTTTTTTTTTTAAATTACAATCTCTTTCGTGAGATCTCACCGGTAGATAGACGCTCATAATATTTTACAAAGAAATTAAATCAAAAATTTTTTGGAACTTATACTTGATTTACATATACACCTTACATTTTAAAATAATTGTTGTTTTAAAAAAAAAATTTAAAATGAATTTTATTCTCAATTTTAATGTTTAAATAATTATTATTTTTTAATTTTATCCTCTAATTATTCTATATATTATTTCCAACCTAATTAATAGAATAATATTATTATATTTTTTAATATATAACCTTAAACCACCGGCATTTTAAGAGAATAGATAATTGTATTACCGAAACTTTGTATCCATTGTCGACCCAAAATCTCTAGTGTCAACAAATCATGCACTCCAATTTTATCATAAACTGTTTGATTGAAATCTTACACCCCACTGATTGAAACCAAACTAACTGACCAGTTTACACTGTCCTGTCCCTATTAGATTGCTCAAAATTCATTTATTTGTTAGATAAGAGAAAATTGAAAGAAATCTTCCATTGTATTCAGTTTCATCTTTGAAAAAAACTGAAACAACACAACCAGTCCACCATATACAAATCAAAAGAGAACAGAATCTACAAAGAAAAAGGCAAACCCAAAAACCGAGCCACTTCATTGAAGGGATCTTCCAAAACAAGCCAACACACTTTTCCAAACACAAACCATTTACAGTTATTACTCATCCCTTCTCTCTTGACTCTCTTCATGCAAAGAAAAAGTTAAAAAAATTTAAACTTTTCTTTTTTTTTTTTGTCACATCTTTAATTATTTCAGATATTTTTCTTCCTTTTTCAACCACCAACTATGCTGCAATAACTGTCCCGGTAAGAAACGAATAATCCTGTCCTTGAGCCTTTGAAGAATTCGATTTTCTTTGCTCCTTATTCCTCAAAGCCTTCATAGACGAAGCAAGATTCATATTCTTCTCCTTCATTTCATCTATCTCTATTTGCTCTTGTCTACACTCTTCGCTACAAAAAGGTGTATCACCCCTACACAAATCAACACAAAACATCAAATCCATATCCTTAGCCAAAACAAAAAAAAATCTTCATAAGAGTTTTAACTTTTTAAGGTAATTAGTACTAATTACCTATACATGAAGATGTCTTTATTGTGACCAAGTGGTTTGCTACAAAGAGAACAAGCTTCAAGGAAGTGCGGTTGTTGATCTTCAAATCTAGTATCATAGAATCTTCCACCAGATCTAGGTGAAGAAACGTTCATGTTGCTGAAACTAGTTTTGTTTGAATAAGAATAACCCATGGTTATCATATTCATTGATTTTGTAACAAAACTATTAGCATGACCGGAAACATCCATGTTTTTTAAGGAAGCTAAACCGTTGTCTTGTTCAATGTAACAAGGTTTTAGTGTTGCAACGGAAGAACGGTACGATGAATACATCATGGGTTAAGGTTTAAGGTTTGGATGTGTTTAAGGAAATGAAGTTTGAGAAGTTTGAGAGAGTGAGGGGAGTATAGGAGAAAATGGTTAATTTATAAAAGAGATTATTGGTATTGAAAATTGTGAAAATGATGTGTAAACAGCGGCAGGTTAGAATATAAGGAAGGAATCCATTGGCCAAAACTACTTAAATCGGAACCGTTGAAAAAATTATGATTATTTTTTAAGCTTTTTTATTTTTGTTAGTGGAAATTTATAAAAGTGGGGTTGAATGGGGCCAAAAGTGACAGAGTGGTCCCACGTGGATGGGAATAAACGACAAAGTAATCGATTATTGGAAAAAGCTAAAGGGAGTGTAATGACGTCAAATAATTTGAGGACCTTGGAGTGAGGAGAAAGGTTTTGGTTTTGGAGGAAAAAAGTGAAACCGTGGGTTAAGGGAGGTTCTCCCACTTGCATTCATGGCGCGTTGTTTACACTGTAGTATTGATATTATCAACGATTATAGATATTTCTTTTTTACCATTTTACCCATATTAAAAAATTTATAAGAAGAGAAAAATATTTTTTTTTTGTTGAAGGTCTTTCTTTATCTTTCAAAAATAAATGATAATTTAGTTTTAAACCATTTTTTTTATTAATTTAATCTATAAACAAATAAAATTAATTTGAGATTCCTAAATTATTTTTTATTAATGATCTATTTTTTTTAATTTTATTTATAAGAGAAAGTTGATTTTTCATATTCATTAAAAAAATAATGTATCTGATTAATGATATAGTTCAAATACAATGATTATTCAATGAACTTAAAAAATAATTTTTTTCTTATAAATAAGATTAAATGTTGTAGTTTTTAAAAAAGATTAAATAGTGAGATGAAAGAATAGTTTAAGAATATTTTAGTTGATTTTAATAATTTAGAAATTAAATTTATGAAATAGTGAAAGTTTAGAGATTAAATTGTATGTGTATTCATCATTTGTTGATTTATTCATTTATATTGATTATAAATGCATTAAAAACCTTAAGTATTAAGTATTAAATCAAACATATTAAATATTGAATGTTAAATAAAAAATAATGAGTTTCATAAAAAAAAATTGATTTTCTATTCTTAATGGATTCTCCTTTTCAAATAAATTTTTTCTCTATAGAAATGATTTAGTTCCATTTAAATGGATGGATGTTTATTTTCAATGACAAATTTAAAAGTTATTTATAGTTTTTTCTTAAATGTATTTTTTATCTCCTAATATGCTAACTCAAAACTTTAATTCTATTTATAAATTTCTTTTACCCTTTTTTTTTTAAATTTAAGGGAAATAAACATTGACAATTTGTCTAAAGATAAGTAAAGTGTGACTAATTATTATTCCAGTTTGGATTTTATTCAATTCCAAAATTAAAAATAGATGTAATAGTTGAAAGAGAAATCTTGAATAGATGGAGTTGATCTCCGATACGATAGTTTGAGGTGGATAGGAATATCAATGGGTAGGGTTTGCGCAGAGTACTATAATACTCATCCTCTTATTCGTGATTTGAAAAATTCTTCGTACCTAAGCTTATATCCACTTAAGCGCCACAATTTGTGTAACACCCCAATTTTTAATTAAGCGTTTTAATTAATTTATTTGTGTGTTTATTTAATTATTGGGTGTTTAATTAAATAAATTATTGTTTGATTATATGCTATGTGAGGTGTAGAGAATAGTCGTATAGTATGGAGAGAATTTAACCCCGTTGGAGTTAATTAGAATAACTAGAAAGGTTGGTATTTTGATTAAAGTAATTAAAATAAGATAAAATAGTAATATTGGGCGAAATATTGAATTAATAGACTTATAGTAAAATAGATATAATTATGAGGTGAATAATTCAAATAGCATGGGTGATAGAAAAATGAAGAATATTATATTTATTAATAAAATAATAAGAAAATATGATGTGTAGAGAAATTGAGGGAAATGTTGGAAATAAGGAAAATATGGAGGATATGGAGGGAATATAAGGATAAGTTGGGGGGTAAAAGGGGAATAGTCTAATTAGAATGGATTAAGTTGAATACCTTAGATAACTTCCTTTAAAATGATTAGACAACTTACAATTAATTCTCATTCTCTCAAGAGAATTAGACACTAGACATCCTTAATTGAGATATCATTCTCCTACCTCATGACATAGTCGAGAATGATGTAAATTCCTTTTCCACTTAGGAGAGGTATGTGGCATACTCGCCGATTTTATACCGAGTTAGAGCTCTTCTCCTAACGTGAAGCAAAAGTCCATCTTCCACATGTTTGTGGTGGTTTAAGTTGAGTATTTTCCTTCATATGACGAACCTTCTCTTCTCCTAAAATCAATCAACAAACTTTATCTACCCTTTTAGGGGAACTACGAATGCTCTGATTCCATTCCCTTCAGAATACGTAGGTACGAGATGCAATGTCTTGGCGAGCATACTTAGAAATAACACCTTAGATCTCCCTTTATCTTTTCACCCTTTAGCGGACAAATAACAAATAACACAATAAAACAAGGGATTCCTGCAGAGTACTATAAATACTTAGGATGCTAGCACCTTCCCTAGGTATAATCAACCCTCAAACCTTAGATTCTCTTTTACTTTGTTTTTGCATTGCATATTTTGGGTTTTTCGTTCTTTTTCCCTTCCATTGGATAAATTAAAGATCAGTGGTGAATTATGATTTGTGATTCAAGTTAATTTAATAGCTTGATATTTGATTCTCACCGCGATATCATGAAAATGTGCGAATCTTCAATATAATTGCATATACCTTTGGATTTCTTGATTTGTGTGTTATTGTGTAGGAATTAGGCTTGATCATCCGACACAAAAGAATGGAAAAGGAAGCCAAAGAAAAGAAGTTGAAGTCAATGGTCGTTGTACGAGCTGCCAACGAAGTGAAGGCGAGCTCACAGTGTGAGCACAAAGGCAAAGTGAAAGTGAGCCAAGAAAAAAGATGGCAATAGCTTTTGGCCTTAGTAGCCGTTGTGCGAGGCCTGGCCGAGATAGCTCATAGTGCGAGCTCAAATATTTTTGAGGGGCGGTTTAACTACTCTAGAGGCACTTGAAGTGCCTAAAAAAGGAGTTCGTTGTGCGAGCTAGTACAAAATATGAGATATTTATGTACTTTTCTTGCTTTTTGAGGAGTCCTTCTTAGAAACTCTTAGACAAATATATTTCCTTGGAGCACAAAAACCCTAAGTTCTTCATTTCTTCATCATTAAGTGATCTTTATCAAATAGAAGTTGGATTCGCACCCATTATCGATTCTTCATCATGGATGCACATTCATCTTCTATCTTTCCTTGTGAAGAAAGCTACCACGGTGATTGGTAGCTAAATCCTTTGTATCAAGAGTAGATGTAGTCTTCCTTGATTTTGTATATATTTTCTTTAATCTTTTGTATGTGAACAATTTGATGATTAATATATGGTGAATTTCTTTACTCTTAATGATATATCTTTGCTTTGAATCACTCTAGACATAGATTTTACAAAACTTGATCTAAGATATTCATCTATCAATGAACAAACTCTAGACATAGATTTGTGAGTTGATATTTGCTTTATATCAATCTTAAAGATTATTGTATTGGTTGTTAGCATGAGACATTATCTAGTGATGGATATAATAATACTCATGAAACCGCTTTAAACATAAATGGTCTTGAGAGGGTACATGATTATTTTGATTGAAAACAAATTCACATGCTTGATTAATAGAATATATGCAAGTTAGGTTGATGAAATCTATTCTTGATATGCTTTGTCAAACAAACATCTTTATAGAATTTATTCTTCGCTACTAAAACTTGTGACAACTTATGGTACCAAACAAAACACCTTTGAAAACCTTACTTAAGACTTCATAAACTATAGAACGACAAGTGATATCAGAACAATCCCTGTGGAGACGATAAAACATCTTTCACCATCTTATATGCCTTCAACAGTGATCCAAGTGGATGATGTGCAAGTGAGAGATAACTTGACTATGGAGGCATCACTCATAAGGATAAAGGATTGGGAAGTGAAGCAATTGTGTAGTAAAGAGATTTCCTTGGTAAAGGTAGTTTAAAGAGGACCAGCAGGTGGGAGCATGCCTTGGAAGCGTGAGGAGTAGAAGAGAGAGTCATATCCGACTCTATTCTCCTTAGGTAATTTTCGACAACGAAAATTTCTTAAGTGGGAAAGAGTTGTAACACCTCAATTTTCAATTAAGCGATTTAATTGATTTATTTGTGTGTTTATTTAATTTTTGGGTGTTTAATTAATTAAATTATTTGATTATATGATATGTAGGGTGTAGAGAATAGTCGTAGAGTATGGAGAGAATTGAACCCTGTTGGAATTAATTGGAATAACTAGAAAGGTTGGTATTTTGTTTAAAATAATTAAAATAAGATAAAATAGTAATATTGGGTGAAATATTGAATTAATAGACTTATAGTAAAATAAATAGAATTATGAGGTGAATGATTCAAATAGCATGGGTGATAGAAAAATAAGGAATATTAGATTTATTAATAAAATAATATGAAATAAGCTGTGTCGAAAAATTGAGGGCAATGTTGGAATTAAGGAAAATATGGAGGATAGGGAGGGAGTATAAGGATAAGTTGGGGGTAAAAGGGGAAGAGCCTAATTAGAAGGTATTAGGTTTTGGAATAAAATAAGAGATTTGGAGAATATGAGAGTGTCAGTATGTATATTTGAAGATTTGGAGCAAAAGAGACAAAAAGGGATAGAAAAATCTTGAGGTTGAGGAAGAAGATCAATGGCTTTTCCTGGAGATTAGATAAGGGTGGGAACTTGTTCCAATAGTAAAGGGTATGGTAGAAGGGTAAAATGGGGGAACCTTTAACCTCCTTAGAGCTGAGTGTTTTGATTTATAATAATGAATCGTGATACTATGATTGTATTTATATGATGATTATATGCTAAATTTTCCTGTGCTTATATGTGTACAAAT